GAGTTAGCCAGCTCCCTGGCCTCTTCTAGGGGCGCTGATCCCATCACAGGGACTCCACCCTCAGTACCTGCCCACCTCCCAAAGGCCCCGCCTCCCGATACCATCACATTGGGGGTTTCAACATGGATTTTGGGGAGACACACACATTCAGTCCATTGCAAGAATATTTCCTAGAAAGCAGCTCAAAAAGGAGATGAAAAGTAGGAATGAATAGATGAGAAAAAGGATTCATAGTAGAGATTCTCTGTCTGACAGAAATGCCCCAAAACGAGACCCCCTCCCCACAAAAAGAATGGGAAGTTGTTAAAGAATATGAGACTTCAGAACTGGGCTTTACCTGATAGCTCGCATAATATGTGGAGAAGACTCAGCTCGGATGGTCTACTATGAAATTCCTCAACACCGAGGGCAGAGGTCAGATCCTGAAAGCTTTGTGAGGGGAAAAAGGTCACATACAAAATACATAGCTAACAGCAGTGTGGGAACAGAAAGTAGGGAATGTCTCCATTATTGAGGAAAAACGATTTCACCTTGGAATTCTGTACCCAGCCAGAATGTCGTTCAAGTGCGAGAGACTAGTGGCGTTTTTAGACGTGCAGAGTTCACGACAGCTGTAATCGAAACCCAGCCCTCCACGCCCTTTCTGTCACTAGAGGATGTGTTCCACCTAAGGCAGCGGGTATCCCAAGGAAGGATGACACTCGGAATCAGAGAACTAGGGCCCAGCATAGGGGACCGGCGGAGGGAATCCTCGGGGGGACACGGGAGCAGCAGGAGCAGGCGGGGCCGGGGCGCCAGGGGCATGGAGGGCATGTCCGCGGCCACTCCCGCGCATTCCGACCACGTCAGCAAATTCACACCTCCGACTAGAGCTTGGCGGCCAGTCACAGGCAGAATCCTGAGCAAGCAGAGAAAGACACTTAATGCCTCTGCTGTTTTAACTACAGTGCATGGCGTAGCTGAGCTGTGCCAGTATTTACAGATACAGTGGACGCTGATTTAACCAGAAATCTGCGTGCGACTGTGCAGGTGGGTCCGTGTGAACACGTGTGCGTGCGCATGCTGGGGGTGGGGGGAAAAGCCAAGTCTTCGTCTTTTTGGCAGGCGGTTGACATCTAGAATAGACAAATCGAGAACGAATGGCGTGAGCCTCTTGTTTGGAAACACCGAGGTGACTGGCAGGAGAAGTAGTGTCCCCTCGGAGCGGGCTCCAGGGCGGGTGGAGCTGGGCACGCTCTGCTTTCTGCCATGGCCCTGCACGCTGTGCGTGTGACGTGCGAGTGTCACAGTGTCACTCGGATTGAAGGAGAAGGCCAGGCGCGCGTGGCGAGGGGAGCCTGGTGAGGCGGCAGCGTCAGATTAAGGGGGGTCCTGAAGCCGAGCTCAGAGCCGAGGCTTGGTGCGGGGTCAGCGCCCTGAAGGCTTCAGCAGGGGCCCCGTGCACCCCTCTGCCCAGCCCCGCCTGGCTCCCTGGCCCGCCGGCCCGGTCGGGTTGGGCCAGGGGCCTTGAGGGCGACAGGAGAGGGAGGTCGAGGTGCTTTCTCCCTGTGAGGCACTGAGGTGGCTCAGCCCTCTCCCGCAGCTCCCCTCAGGTGGCCTCTCCCTTCAGCCACCCTGCCCTGCAGGCCCGGCCGTGGTGAAGCCGGCTCCTGTTCGCGAGCCCCGCGGGCTCCATCACGCCCCGCGCCCTCCTCGAACCCGCCCTGGCTTTCACAGACACCCCCTCGCTCTCCAGACTCCCGCGCCGAGCGTGGCCCCGTCTTCTGGGGGCGTCCCACAGGGAAACGCTGTCCCCCGCGCGTCGCGCGAACATTCCGGAAGTTTTCTCCTAGCGTGATTTTGCACACGTTTGTGCGTTCTCCCCTCATCCCGCAGTGCGGGGCTGGGGTGCGGGAGCGTGAAGGCCGTGTGCGGCGCCCGGGGCAGAGGCGCCTGCACCCCAGCCGCCCGCGCGGCCTTCGGGACGCGGGGCTCGGAACTGATTTCCTCCCCTCGGTTGGTCTAGCGCTTGCTCCGGGGCCTGGCCAGTCCCTCGGTCTCCGGGCTCGTCGCTCAGGCAGCGCTCTGAGGCCCGGAGACCGTCCGGCTCTGTGACAGGCGCTGTTTCTGCGGTGGCTTCGGCGTCCCTCACACTGCGTTGCGGCCTTCTGCATGCGCCCTTGGCCGTGCCGCGTGGGTTCTCCAGGGCAGCCCCGCCGTGCGCCTGGTGGCCGACGTCATTCTGAGTGGCACCTGCCGTCAGTCTCCAGAATGTCCCCTCATGGATGATGAGTCAGGCAGTCACCTTCCTTGTGAGTGAGCCGGACAGAATTTGGTGATTCGGTCATTACGTTTCCGTTTTAAGGACGTAGACGGTCTCGTTCGTCACCTCCTTTCGAACAAACAGCGTCACTCTGCTTCGGAACAACAAAAGTCACGCAGAAGACAGTGTGGGGTGGGCCGGTGTGACCACTGTGCTCCCGGCTCTGAGGCCTGCGTGGCGGCTTTTCTGCAGCGGCCTTGGGAGCTGGGACAGAAACCTGTGGCGAAGGGTGGCCGGGGTCCGCGAGGTAGCCCACTGCACCAGATAGGGACAGTGGCCATGCGAGCCATCGAGCCTGAGGCCGGGCCCGTGCCGTGGGCTCCTGGTCCTGGAGCTCCGGCCTGGCCCCCAGCTTCGGGCTCCCCACGACTCCTTCCACCCGGCCTTAGAAGTAGACACCTCCTGCCTTGGCCAACAGCGCCTCTAACCTGGCCGAGTGTGCAGGTCTCCCAGCGGGTCTTCCTGCGTCTGCCCTACTGTGTGTTCCTCCCCCACAGCCAGCTGGGGTGCTGTCTTTACAGAGGAAGTCCGATCCAAACCCTGGCAGCCGCTACCCACCGCACCCACAGCGGAACCAGAGCTGCGGGGTGGCCCCCACGGCCTGGACAGCACCCCCCACCTCAGCCCCCACCCTCAGCCGCTCTCTCCGCCCCGGCTCCCAGCCTCCTCACTCTCAGCTCTTAGGAACCGCTGGCCCTGAGCAGTCCGCTCCGAACCCCCGCAGCCTCGGAGCGTTCGCTGCGCCCCCCGGCTCCTGGGAGGCTCTGCACGCCCCAAGGGCACTGCGGTGGCCCTCTGTGTCTCCAGGACCCCGTACTCGGTCCTCGGTACTGGGCGCCCAGAGAGTGCTGAGCGAAATGAATGAGGATGAGGTTAGAGACCTGAGGCAAGAAACCACAACGTGCTAAAAACAAGTGAGAAAAACATTAGCACCACACAGGTCAGTAATCTGCACACCTGTGCGGAAAGGCGGACAATCAGAACGTGGCGAAGGGGCGAACAGGCAGCCCGCGCAGGGGGAGATGCCTTAGACGGGAAGAGCTGTCAGTGCCTGGTCATCAGGTGTGGGCAGACTGCGGACGACAGGGAGAGCCCTTTTCACCCATGGGCTGGCAGAAAGGGAGGCCCGGTTGGGGCAGGGGCGGGCCTCGGCGTCGTGAAAGCTCTGAGACCGTGCCTCGTGCGCGGCCCGGCTGTCCTGCCACGGGTGACAGCCCCAGAGGAGCGCTGTGCCACTCAACAGGAGAAAACGGAAGTGGCCTGTCCTCTTGCGAGTGGGCTCAGCGTCGGATCAGGCCTGGCACCAGGAGGGGAGTGCGGACTGGGAGTCGTTAAAGAGCCGACGTCGACGGGGCTGGCCCGGGATGCTGGTGGGTGGAGAGTGGGAGGGGGAAGCGTAGCCGTGACGTCTGCCTTGGAACTAAAAGTAAAAAGCTGGGTTTGGATTAGGCGCTTCGACAAAACAGTGCTGTTAAAAACTGTACGCGTATTTATTTATTATCAGTCAAGAAGGAAGAGGTGGGCGGAGGCCACTGGCCTTGGCATGCCTGCAGCCACCTCCGGGGCGTGCCTGGAGGTGGCGCTGTGGTGTCCCGCTGGGGACAGCAGGCTAATCCCCCCACCCCCACCCGGGCTGCAGGAGTTGGCATCGCAAGGAGAGCGCAGGAGCAGCCTGCCGGGTGGGCCCCGCGTCCAGACACGGTCACAGCCAGGTCCTGGGCTCTGGGCAAGCTGCACACCATCCCTGCGTCTCAGCGTCCTCCCCTGGCACGGGGCCAGGTGCGCTAGGCCCCGTCAGGCGGCACAGCGGGCACTGCAGGGGCGCTGCCCACGGCGCCGAGGCCGGCGGCCAGCTGGGCTTTCACCTGCTGCTCGCGAGTGTCCGTACCCGAGGCGCAGGCCCCTCAGTCCCTCCCGGGAGCCCGTGGGACAGCATCTGGACCCAGCAGCAGGGCCTCCACCCATGTCCTGAGGAAGTGACGAGGGCTTGTGCCCGCACGTGACTCCTGGGTGGGGAGGTCGGCAGAACAATGGGAAGCCACTTAAAGTCTCTCAGGGGAGTGGTTCCGTGTTCCGTCTGTGTGGTAGGTGTCCGTTCAGAGTCATGGAAAACATCAGTGACAAGTAAGGCTACCTGGCTGTGAAGCAGCATATAAAACACCCAGTTCTGTGTATTTCTGTACATCTGTGTGTATATATTTACGTACTTGTCTTGCGATAACGTGACTATCTGTCGGGAGAGAAGTGTATTCCACGTACTACGTGATAAGTGTCGCGTGTACTATTGTAGAAGGCGTGTAGGAGACACGTGGAGAGAGGAAGGTGTGTGCGTGAGCGGGTGCGAACATACTGCACGGCACGTCTGCAGGAATAGAGGACACACACCGGGTCGTCGTCAGTGGTTGTCCTGGGCAGTGGGGTTGAGGGCTTTCCTCTTGACCGTTACCTGATTTCAGCAGTGCGTATGTGTCACGAGCGTCATCGGAACACAGAGAACGGTGTGGCACAGCGTGCGGGAAGGTAGAGGGGACGAGATTGAGCCTGTGTCGGGAGCGTTGCCCTCGAGTTTTTTTTGCCTCTGGTCTGCGCCTCCTGCTTAGCGGGTGACCTCAGAGGGCAGCGACTCCATCTCTTAGTCATTCCCGCAGGCGAGGCCCTGTTACCTCATTGTGGGAGGACCAGGGGTTTTCACGATTCCACTCAGGGGAGGGACTTGGACACTGAAGCGAGAAGGGACACCTGGCGCTGCGTGTGGCTCCGGCTGAACTTGAGAGAGGACGAGTCGAGCAGCTGTTGGTCTCCGTGGCGCCAGCGACGACTGCCGGCAGGGAGGAGGCGGCCAGCTACCAGGAAGCTCCTGGAGCCTGACTTCAGGAACTGGGTGGGGCAGTGAACCCCGAGTGACGCTGCTGCTGGGGTGGAGGCTGATTGGCCCCCGGATGCAGCCAGCCGTTCCTGCCTGCCCAGGAAGCGGCTCTGAGCTGTCCCGGTGGCTAGACAGCCCGCAGGTGTCCTGCCCCACCCAGCCCGGCCTCCCTCGAAACTTGGCTGAGTTCTCCTTTGAAGAACAAAACAGAGCCACTTTTAGGTCCTGCTGTGACGGAAAAAGATGGTCCTCAAAACCCAGGAGGAGGACGGTGAGTCCGGCCCGCCCCAGGCGTGTGCTGGGGGGTTAAGTTGTCTCTTCTGGTGGAGACGTGGAACCCTGTGATGACGGTTTCGCTGCCCTGCGGGAGGAGTGGCGGCCACACTGTGTGGTGTCTGCCGTTTTGCGGGGTGTGTGGGGGGGGGAAGCTGGCGCGCGCACGCGTGTGTGCGAGGCGGGGGAGACACACTAGGTGTGTGTTTGAGCTGAAGACGCCCTCAGCCCCCCAGCCTTTGCCCAGGGTGCTTCCTGGCCCGGCAGTGATCACCGCTCGCTGGTGATTGTGCTGTCTGCACTGCTGTGTCTGCGTGACAGTGGACAGAAGCCCTGGCGGTCACGCTTGCGTCCAGAGTGAGCGTGACACTCGAAAGTGAAGGCGTCAGAGACCAGGTCGAAAGCACCGGTGAAGTGAGGTTCAGGGCGCAGACCTCCGTGGTCCCGAGATGAAGCGCAGCAGAGGGAGTGTGGTTAATGGAGGCTTCCTCTTCGGCGGGCAGCGGAGGCCGAACTTCCTTCATCTCCACGCCCACTGTAAACAGTGACACGCTTTGTGGCTTGTGATCCCGAGAGATCCTGCAGAACTGTCTTCCTGCACTGGCCAGGGCTTCCCGACGTGCGGGAGTCACGGGTGTGTGTGCACACGCGCGTGTTTCAGCTGGCGGCAGTGACAGCAGCACAGCGTGTGCTTTGAGCAAGTTCGAAGTAAACATTAGGCTGTATTCAGAGAGAATTTGTTAAGTTACAGTAAAGTCGGGAGTCCTTTTACGTTTTTCCTTATCTGGTTCACTGTAAAATACATTTTCAAGTTTCACTTCTAGTAATGCAAATTGTCGTGGAGCATATCCGTGGGGCGATGGGTACCACGTGTGAAAGACCTGGGCGGGAGGGACACATCCGTGTTTATGGTGACACCTCCGCCTGTGGAGCGGGGTGGGGAGCAGCGGTGACAGGCGATTCTGGGTTGGGCTGAACTGCCCACGTGGGACTTTCCGTGTCTGAGCAGTGCATCCACAGTAGCCAAGGTCTCTGTTCAAAAAGAGACACTCTTGAGAGGGGACAAGGACATTCGCACTGATGCCGTGACAGTAGGCACGACCCGGCCTGGCAGACGGTGACTGCTGGGGACCGTGCCCCTCTGGGCACGCCTGGCTTCAGGCCCACCGAGGACGCGTTTAACTGTCACTTCAGAGTCTGAGTCGGGCGGGGCCGTGGGGGGGGTGTCGTCCCATGTCATCCCAGAGGCTTTAAAGTTCAGCACAAACTGCTCAGGGTGCACACTGGGGCTGGAGTTGGGGGTGGGGCACCGCTTTAGGGCGGGGACTCGACATCAGGGGAAGGGGTGGGTCGATGGGCACCTCTGCTTTGCATAAGGAACCTTCAGGAACCCGGGGTTCTCCACCTCCCCTGACCCTCCTGGGAGCTGCTGCCAGTTGTCTGCTGGGCCACGAGGTGGGGCACGTTGCCCTTTAACCCCCGCTGAGACCACTGCGCCTCGGTGTGGAAACGAGATGCAGAGATGGCGCTCGGGCCGGTGCGGAAGTGAAGGCAGCACCGGACTTTCCTTGGGCAGGCCCCCGGGGTCCCAGGGGAGGGAGAGTCACGTGTCAGCCTGCGCTCTGCACAGAGCTGCTTTTACTAGATTTGTCGCCCAAAGCGCACGCCTAACGGTGGGGGGAGTGGGGTGGCGAACATTTCTTTAAAGAAGTCAGGCCCTCTCCTCTTACACCAGCTCAGACCCACAGCCCGTAAATGACGAACGCTGCTGCCGGCTCTGGCCTCGCGCGGTGCGCGGGCCCCCAGCGCTCGGCCGTTTCCCTCACGGCACTCTGCAGGTGTGGCTGGCGCGGGGACCGCGGACTGAGTGGTCCCTTGTCTTTCTCAGCTGCCTGGGGTTCGCTCTGGCTCTTTAATCTTATCTTTTGAATGCTTGGTCCCCTTCATTTGCCTTCGCACCTTCTTTTTGGGACGGAACCAAGCCCCTTGCCTGGGGGAAGCAAGGCCATCACAGGTGCATGCTGGGCTCCCTTCCGTGTGCCACCCCAGGCCCCCTGGGCCCTGGGCCCTGGCCTGACCGGGCACCCAGCATCTCCCAGCCTCTTCTCGCTTGGCACGTGTGTCCCCACCGGTCTCTGCTTCTCTGTTTGGGGCATCTGTTTGTCCTTTAAGTCCTGGCTTAGAGGCATGACTTCTGAAGCTCTTGGTGTCACCTGGCGTCCCTGAGCACTGGGCGTGTGTGGCTGCTGTGGCCACACGTGCCGCAGCCTCCACGCCCTCCCCCCACCCCCGCTGGCCCGCATTCCGCTCCGGGCCGGGCGTGTGCAGATGCTCAGTGAACACTGAGCCGACGGAGCTTGATGGTAACTGAGAAAATAAAGAGCTGAGGACTCAGCCCGTGGCCCGGAGTGGGCCTTGGGCTCTGTCTGTGAGTAGCTTGCCTTGGGTGCATTGTTCGGACTCGGCGAGTCTTCATGCATGCGGGGGTGGGGGGGCAGAGTCACCCCGCATAGTTCGCCATCGGGAATTGCGCGTGGGTCACAGGTGGACTGTGGTGCGGAGTGCAGATGAAACGCGTTTGAAGTGTGAGCTACCACGCGAGTCCAGAGCGGCGTTACTTATAGGGCGACATTGCAGGCAGAATTAAGGGAGGTGCCTGTCCACTGGCACACGGGGGTTCAGGGTGCCTCCGAGACTGCCCCGGGCGCCAGGGCAGCGCCTCTCCCCGTTCTCGTGCTGCCCCCCTCCCCACGGTTGTGCCAGCTCCGGCTGGACAGGTCGCCGAGGTCGTGGTGGTAAAGGGGAAGCTAAGGTGCTGTGACTAGAGGCTCTTATTCCCGTAGGTGGCTCTCACTCGTCCCTTATGGGTTGAGTTAGTATTTTGCAGATTCAGAAGCGGTTACATCTTTATTTTTAAGCAGGAGCTCTTGGCATTGTACAAGGCGCACATCATGGAGCTGCACCACCATCTGCGGTGACAAGTGGTGAAGGGGACTCGCTCTGCTCCGTGGCACACAGCCGAGGGGCAGCTGAGAGTGGTGCAGACCGTCAGCTCTGCCCTTCTCACGAGGAGGGCGTGCGGGGCCGGGGCGAGGGGTCTGCGCCTGTGAAGCGGTGGCCCTTTATCCGTCGTTTGAGGCCTTCTGTAGCCTCCCGGCTCCTCTGTGTTACGGGACATAAAAGCGTGGGGTCAGGACCCAGAGTCCAGTGGACAGGAGGGATTGTCTTAAGAAGCCAGCATTGTGGGGGAAAAGGCAGGGTTTGTGAGCGCTGTCAGCCTGCAGAGCGGTCAGCTGGGGCGAGTACAGGACGGGTGCCCTAGATGTGGGCAGGAGGCGTCCAGACCCTAGCGAATGGGAGACGTGGCAGCTCCCGTGGCCCGGCCTCCCTGGGTCCCAGCCTCCCTGCAGCCCTGGAAGCATCACGACAGTACGTGTGTCAGTTTGCTGCGGTCGCGTCAGAGATGGAGGCTAGGCCTTCCAGAAGGTTTGAACAGTGTCCCTTGCTCTGTCCCTTCACGTGACAGTCCTCCAGAGGCACCGTTACTGAAGTCATGTTCTTGCCTCTGCTCAGCTAAGATTTCCTTCGTGGAAAGAGGCTCTCGTGAGTCTTGTCCTGTGTACCCCGTGAAGAACTTCAGCTTGTGGGAGATTTATGTGAGTTTCACCTTGCAGCTGGGACTGTCACTAAGTGCACATGGTCAAAGACTCGTGGGGCTGTGGATCGCCTTAGAAGTGACCTGGTCCAGCCTGGTCAGCTCTGCCAGGGGGAGCCTTGGCTGCAGCCCCCACTGGGTCGTCAGAGTCAGCCAGGGCCTTCAGCAGCACAGTTAACACAGGGTGACCTCGTGGGTCCACGCGTCCTTCCCGAGTGTGGGCCGTACCTGGTTACGTAGACGTGGGTGACGGATGCACGCAGGGAAGATGGAGACAGGAAAGTCGAGCCTGCCGTCCCCGGCTCTGCTGGCCAGCACCCGCCCGGGCGCCTGCCTGCCTTCAGAGGGCATTCTCGACGCGCGTGCGCCTCGTCCTCTGCAGAGACGCCACGGAAGCCTAAGTTCCGGCCGAAAGAGGCCTGGCAACTTTCTCTCCCAAGCGGGCAGCTGTGCCTGCGTCTTCCTTGTGACAACCAGAGTCCATCCTCCTCTGCATTTCTGTTAGGAGTCCAGGATTCTGGCTCAGAATCCAGACGGACCCCCATCTAGAAAAGAGCAGTGTGCCGGTCCCCCAGGGGCCGTGACAGGCCTCGCTGTGCTGCTTCCACAGACGGGGTCCTCAGGCGTCCGTCTGAGCGGATGCGGGGTAGGGGGGTACTCAGGCGTCCGTCTGAGCTGATGCAGAGTAAGGGGGTGCTCAGGTGTCCGTCTGAGCTGATGCGGGGTAGGGGAGTGCTCAGGTGTCCGTCTGAGCTGATGCGGGGTAAGGGGGTGCTCAGGCATCTGTCTGAGCAGATGCGGGGTAGCGGGGTCCTCCGGCGTCCGTCTGAGCGGATGCGGGGTAGCGGGGTGCTCAGGCATTCGTCTGAGCTGATGCGGGGTAAGGGGGTGCTCAGGCGTCCGTCTGAGCGGATGCGGGGGAGGGGGTGCTCAGGCATTCGTCTGAGCTGATGCGGGGTAAGGGGGTGCTCAGGCGTCCGTCTGAGCGGATGCGGGGGAGGGGGTGCTCAGGCATTCGTCTGAGCTGATGCGGGGTAAGGGGGTGCTCAGGCGTCCGTCTGAGCTGATGCGGGGTAGGGGGGTGCTCAGGTGTCCGTCTGAGCTGATGCGGGGTAAGGGGGTGCTCAGGCGTCCGTCTGAGTGGATGCGGGGTAGGGGGTGCTCAGGTGTCCGTCTGAGTGGATGCAGGGTAGCGGGGTGCTCAGGCGTCCGTCTGAGCTGACGTGGGGTATATGGCTGGTGCCATGTCCATCCGTATTCTCTCTGAACAGGAATTTCCAGAGGCCGTCGCCCTGGTTCTGGGTCAAGGGCGCTCACCCCTGGTGCGGTTGGAAAGTCGCATG